TACCTAAAAGGCACATTTTTACGATTATATATAAGTATACTTATTATTACTTTACTTCTTTGACCAAAATTGCGTTTCTTGGAGACGGGTCTGTATTCACTTGGTTTAAGAATGTCTTGACTAAGAAACGCAATAGCTTTACTTGGAGCAATAGTTTGTGTGTCATGCAAATAAAATATTTTTTATACTTCCACCTTTAAAACGCCCATTATCGTCACAAGCTGAACTTAGCAACAGGTTTTTAATCACGAGCTGAAGTTAGTGTTTAAAATAACACTAAATGTAAAAATTATTTTATTATCTCAATACAAAAATATAAAAGTTTTAAATAGTTTCTCAACACCAATATTTGAAAAGTTTATGTGAACATTGTACTGACCTTTTAATTTCGCCGGCAGTAAACTAGATTTAACTTAATTTTGGGTAGAGACCACCGTGGAGTGCAAATAAAACATTTTCTTTACTTTCAGTGGGAAAAACTTCTTCTATATCGGATTAAACAGTCTATTTTTAAGGGATACATATCGAATAACACATACAAATTTGACATTTGTAATTCTCAACTTGGTTACTGTATTGTTTTGTAGATATCGCTCCATTCAAATATTTAATTTAAATCATTTTTAGATAATACACAGAAAAAACGCTAGCATAGCATAAATGGGTGAGCCATTAAACCAATGGGATCTTGTAATCCGTATTCCTGAATAACAGTTCCTATAATACCAATAGGTAGTTAGCACTTGGTTTATAATCGTTTACTGTTTTTAAATTAACAACAATAGTTATCGCTCCTAAATCTATTGATATTCATATTGATATTTATTTGTTAGAATGGTAGAATGTTATTGCATTAAATACTAATTTGATTTATTTAATAACGTTACTATTGTATGTATACTATGTATACATTTAACGCAATAAATTCTTTGACATTTATGCAAAATATTTCCCTATTTTGGTTTAATAGAAATTAATTGAGCAAATAACAATTTGGATTGCTTCAATTTTAATGCATTCAATGACAGCGCTGTTCTTGTTAGATTTTTTTCTGTGTAATAAGCAAGGACCGGATTTTAGGAAAAATGCCTTATGTTTCTATTTTAGGCATTTGTTTGGGACCTTGAAATTAATCCTAAACTTAAAAAAATAAAGCGTTTGACATCCCTTTTTACCTAAAAGCCTAAAATGGCGAAATTTTGATTTATTGTCCTAAAAGGACATTTTTATGAGCCAGACAGATATTTAAGTACACGGCACCTTTAATGAGGAGAAGAGCTGAAGCATGCATACTTGCAGGTGGTGGCCACTTTCAACAGCTAATCTAAATTATTTTTGTTTTTGTTTACGTTATTTAATGTTAGTTCTTTTAAAATTATTTTATAATTTAATTTAATTTTAATGTTTATTTAATCTTTTAAAAATGGATTACTAAAACCTAATGAAATTTATTTAATCATGGGATTGTTTTCCCAATATGCGCATTAAATGCTTTTTATTTTTTTCATCGAAAACCGTTAGTCGTACGAAAAATGGTCAAGAAATCAAATTTGCTCTAAAATGAATGGGGATTCAAAATATAATTTTTATTTTGAAAAATAGCAGTGGCGTGCATAATATTTTTCCAAAAATATCTATACCACATCCTGTACGGACGCCACTGGTAAAAAAAATAAAAAATCTTCTACATCAAAAACTTACTGTTAATGCGTTAATGCTTAGAAGGCGTGTGCCAAATTTTATAAAAATATCAAGGAAGTTATTAAAGTTATGATAAAAAACGATTTTTTTCGTAAAACACCCTGTAACTCAAAAATTAAAAGGTTTAGGTCATAGGTTTATTTGAATTTTTTTTCTTAAAATCAACTAAGGATTCACACCCTGAAGGTTCAGCATCTTATTCTGAAACACCCTGTATATAAGTATTGGCAAAAGATTTGCTTTAAATTTTAAAATAAGGTTTTCCTTTTCTTTATTCATACGGGAAATTGTTTGCAAGAGTTTGTGTTAGTATTTTTATTATGTTTTATATTAAGAGCAGGGGCGTAGCTACCGCGGTATCAGCCGTATAAATGATACGGGGCCCCCGGCTAGGGGGGCCCCCGATTGGCTTCGACAGGCGTAAGCAAAAAACATATTACCCACATGTTAAAAATTGAGGCATGCAATTAAATAAATAATAATATTATTTAATTGTTTATACTTCGATTTATTAAATTAAAATTTTCCCGAATACCCTCCTGTTCCAACGAGGCCGTGAACTTATACGAATGGTTTCTTTGTTAAAAAGTGTTGTGTTGGGTTGGTTTTTTTGTTTTAGTTTTATCGTAACATAACAAATCTTAAAATTATGACGTCACTCGGGACTGAACTTAAGTCCCGCCTCGGGATGGGAGCCACAGCGTATTATAATAGGTTATATTAATAGCAAATTAGAAATAATTATTAGCTTTACAATTATTTCAAATGACTTGCCTTTATTTTAAAATGGAAACCTTTTAAAATATGTTAAAGAACGGTAAATGTCTAAAACCAGACCAAATTTTAAAATTTGCCTGTACATAAAAAGCTATGTATATATTTATTAAATTATAAAAAAATTGGTAAATGCAAAAAAATTATACCCTAAAAATTTTTTTTTGTTTGCTCAAAATAGATTTTGGGCGTGACACCCAGACATTTTTTTGCCAGCAGATTTTCCCGTATAAGGGCCCCTACCAGATTTTTGATACGGGGCCCCCTCGAGGCCTAGCTACGCCACTGATTAAGAGATACATAATATGTATACATATGTATACATATTATGTATTTTTTGTTTTATTTTTATTGATAGGACCTGAATAAATGTTATGTTTAATCGTGTTGTTTTTATTTCATATCGCATATTTTAGGCGGTTGAGGCCTATTTTAGGCACTTTCGACCTAAAACGGCCTAAAATGTAGGTTTTTATTGCCTATTTATGTGTCCTTATTTCCAATTATTAAGGGCCTAAAATCCGGTCTTTGATAATAAGTATTTGTCGTAGAAAAAGTACAGTATGCAACTCGTTTATAAACCAATTAAATTAAATTAAATTAAATTCGTGTCTAAAATGGCGTTTATTAAACTTGATACATAATGTACTTATTTATTTATTATTTACGATGTAATTGTAAAGTGTCTATAGGTGATGTTTCTTTTGTTATTTTATTTAGTTTAGTTTATTCAGTTGTTATTACTATTGTTAAACTTTTATTTTTAAATTATGTTTTGTATTGTCTAACAAATAGCCATTGTTACCTTATTTGACTCTTTTATAACCTAAAAGTCCGCCTACCCTAACACCCTGTATACATATGACGTACATATAAAAAGAACGTATACCATACAAAAGATGCAAATCCGGCAACATGTGTATATATTACACTAGTATATTATTATACGAGATATAATGCAGGCCATTATTTACAAGGATGAGGTTTGCGTCTCGAGCCGTTAGGTGGGAGACGTAATTCATCCTTGTAAATAATGCGCATTATTTCGAATGTAATACTATGCTTTTTCTACTCCAATTAAGTAATTTTCATTAATAACAAAATTTATTATAACCTCACTTTTACCCTATTTTAAAGATAAACAAATCTGACATCTGTTTTTACTAACTTACTTTTTCCCAATGGATATTTCCATTGTAACGGGTGCGACACTAAAACTGCGTTTTTTTCATGATAATAAAGTGTTTGTTTATAAACAAACACTTTATTATATATATATATATCAAGATACGTTAATATAAAAAAATAGTATAAAAATTAGGTATGGTAGAAAACCTTTTATAACGTCATGAATAGCGTAATGAAAATCGACAAATGCGACCAAGTTGGCTTCTAAAGTTGATACTGTAAAATTTTGGATGAAAATATATAGTAATAATTTTTTGTGTAAAACTTGAATAGTAACATTAAACAAGCACGTTTTTAAAATGCATAAATATTTTATACTTTATTTTCTAAAATTGTATCAAAATGTAACGGGTGCGACATTTGAACTCGAGTATTGAAACTCTTCCGTGTTTATTCTTAATGTTATAAATTACGTCGCAATTAAACTATTTGACTTCAGATATAGTTGTTATTTTATTATCTGATCTTTGTAAAGGTGGGGTAAGGTTTCTTAGAAATACCCCAATTTAAAACCCGATTGGTTCAAATAACCGTGAATATTGAAATCAGCCAATCACTGATGCCAAACAACGTGAATAATGAGTTCATTATTCACGTTGTTAGGCCGGGCCAAATAATGTCAATAATATGCAATAGGAGTGAAAAAATATATTATATTGAATTAATTTAATTCATGCGTATTCAAACCAGCATAATTAAATGACACGACGCGTCGTGACAATCATTATAATATTAAATAACAAATTTATAGCATTGATCTGGCACTGTTGTCTAATTTTCAGGGAACGCCTAAATTTAAATATCCTTTCCTTTTAACTTGCAACTTCATTTAAAATTATTGTAATTTTCCTAAAAACCTATTAAAAAGCTTTTATGACTTCCTTTCAAAATAAACTTTTACAACCAGTTTACTTGTATAATAAATGTGCTCGTAGGTACTTAGGTACTGGCCTTTTAGTGTAATTTATATCTAAATTTATTATAGAATGCTGAAAACGTTAATTTAAGTTTTAGTTTCTGTAATTACTTTAGATCTTGTGTGAAGTTTTACTGAATTTTTATGGCCCTTTAAAATAAAATTTTTGAGAAATATTTCTCACATTATTAAATAACAAATATTAAATTTTTCTAATTATAAAAAAGTTTATATAATTTTTATAACTAATTTTAATATTTTAAAATTATGTACCTAATGATTCAACCTGGTTTTACTGAAAAGTTTTATTTTAATATAACAAACAAATTATTAACTAAGTAACAATTTTAATAAAACATATTATTTAATAACAAATATTTTATTTATAACCTAAAGGTTTTATCTTTACCCGACTATAACAATGGCAGATCCAGGGGAAAATGGTGGAAATATTTCCCCACCAAGAGCTTCACTACTAGGTAAACATGCTGAGTGAGAAAAATCACATTAGAAAATTTACCCCTGGATATTAGAAAAAATATATATATGTTCCTATTTCAACGAAAAAAGAATGCCACTTAAGTTTCAAATTTTATTTATTTGCTGTATCCTCCCCTCAAAAATTGTTTCTGGATCTGCCCCTGACTGTACACGTGCACAAACAAATACATAGTCTTAGGTCTAATGTTATATCCATGGGTTAAGAAAATTTTTTAAACGTTTGAACCAATTTTTGTAGCACTTTTTCCACTCCAAAATTCTGTATTACAGTGAAATTTTCATCTGGATTACTTAATGATGCACTGCATCAGATGCAGGTAGCTCAGAAGATTTTGATTTATTATTTATATTTAGATTACATTATTCCAGTGACTGTATGATTGTTTTTCACGATTTAGAGAAGATTTAGCAAAATTTCGCAATTGCTTGTAGCCTAACCAATTTTCATGAGTTTTATTGAAGTGAAATCTTTTTAAAGCTTTTATTTTTCTTTAAAAATTAATTTTATGTTAGGGGTTATCCAAAGGGTTTTATAAAACCTATAGGTTTAGTTACACGTTTTGTTTCTAGGGGAGAAAGACCTTTTATTAAGAGATTGATAAACTCGTTTACAATTATTATTATTTATTTTCAATTTCATTTATGTAGTAAGTATTATCCCAATGCAAGCTATTTAGTCAGAATTAAACTTATAATCATTATCACATGATTCGGATTTTAGAATTAAATTGCAAAAATGAGACTATGATCCGATATTTGAGAAGCTTCGATGACTCCGGAAGTATGTATTTTATTCGCACAGTTTAAAAAAATAGGATCAAGTAAAGTTGACGTTTGCTTAGTTTCTCGGGTTGCCTTATCAATTATCTGCGTAAAATCCAAAGAATCAAAACAACTGGTTAGGGGGTTGTCTAGATTAAAAAGATATATATTGAAGTCTCCTAAAACCATTACAGTTTCATACCTATAGGTGTCATATCTGATAAAATAGGATCAATTGTTTTGATGTTATTTAGGGTATTTATTTTAGGAGGTCTGTAAAAAACCCCTTTGCCAGTTTTTGTTGTTTCAGCTTAACTTTTATAAAAGAAAACTCAAGACCACTGCTAGCAACTGAATCGCTTATATTTATTTCTTCGTCTTCCTTGTCAATAAACATTGACAGGCTTTATGATGCTTTAGTCACGGGCTGAAGTTAGCAACAGGTTTTTCGTCACGGACTGAAGTTAGTTTTAAGTTAGTTGACAGTTGTCAAATATCATGCAATCGTTAAAATAAAGAGCCTTTCTTGTAAAATAGTATTAAATGAGAACATTATTTTATTACCTTAATACTAATATACAAAAGTATTCTTGACGCTAATATTTGAAAAAACTTTTTGATTTTGCCGTTAATTAGATTTATATTTAAAGTAAAGTTAAAGTATAATTAAAGTTATTTTAATATTATTAAGTACCTATTAATAATTGTTAAGTTTAGTTATAATAATATGGTGAAAATTAAGTCAAAATGTTTTTGGGATGGTTAGTTACCTACTTTATTTTCGTATAGATGTCGTTTTATACAAACATTTAATTTAAATCAGTTTTTAGATAATAATAACCATTTTTCTTAGAAAAAGTATAGTATGCAACATATTTATAAACTTTTCTATGCACTCAATTAAGTAAGCACTCGCTCGCAAGCTCGCTCGCTCGTGCCTAAATTAAAATTGTGAGTATTATGGAGTTTATCAAACTTGATACATAATATACTATTATCTACTAGGAGCTCCTATATTGACGAGCTCTGACTTCATGGCGTTTTAGTCACGGGCTGAAGGTAACAACAGTTTCTCTTGGGCATTTTAGTCACGGGCTGAAGTTTTTAAATTGTCACATTCGTCAAATGTAAAATATTTATGAATTAAAATTGGCTTATTATTTCTGTTTGTCGTATGCAACTCATTTTATAAACTTCTTTAAAAACTAGTTTTTATTAAACCCTTGCTCGAAAGCTTTGATTCTATCTAATAAAACTCGTAACTAAAATGGCGGTTATAAAACTTGAAACATAATATACTATTAAACTGTTAAATAAAATAAAGCAAACATGTATCATGTTTACAAAGTGGGCACACCACACACTTTAAAATAATACTGGCCATCTACAAGAGATTAGGTGTAATACGATTAAAAGTTAACAAGGACGTTATTTGTTTCAGACCAGGAATATTGGTACGAACAGGCACGTATCGCATTAAGGAAACGGCTTCAATACTCGAACGATCACCGTCCGCACGCCAAGAATGTGATTCTGTTCGTGGGAGACGGGATGGGTGTTTCGACATCGACCGCGGCCAGGATTCTCAGGGGCCAGCGAATGGGAAAGCAAGGCGAAGACCACGATCTGGCGTGGGATAATTTTCCGGCTGTGGGCATGGCTAAGGTAACATTGTTTTTATTTAATGAAGTTACACGAGTGGAGGAAAGCAATTTAAATGACCACTTGTGAAAACATGTTTTTTGATTGCAATCAACTACACGAAAAAAAATACATTTCTATATTTAAAAATAGTTCTATACTTATAATTATATATTTGACCCAATAATAATTTACTTACTAAAACAATACTTTATTATTCATTAAAGTACTTGTTTTATGTTAATTTTCAACTCTTTTATTATTCATTTTAAGTATTTTTTATTTAAACAAAGAATAAAAAATATATTTTATTAATTAAAGGATTGTTCTTAAATTAAGTAAAAATGTTTTCTCTTTTGAAATCCATATAATTTTTCACTTAAAAACACAAATAATATTTCAATTAAATATTTTAACTATTCCAATCCCAGTAAACTATACATAAATAATTATAATTATTATAACATTAGATTACTTTGTATGAGGCGCCGTTTGTGCCATAATTAACCCAAATGTTACTAGCGTCCTTTTAAAGGGAGGCTATACAGTTCTCTATAATGGCTTGTATATATATAGTCAAAGTGTCTAGGGAACACCTAAATATTTTTAAATTATTGCAGTAAAACCAAAAAAACTAATGTGAAAATATAATGAATTAATAAAAACAAGTGTTTTTAACTAATTAAATAAAATATATATTGTAAAATGATGTTACAACCCCTTCAACAATTAAAATATCCAAATATTTATTATTATGTTATTTATAATAATTATGCTACATTTATTTTTTTTATTAAAAACCAATTATTAGTTTTTAATAAAAAAAAATTATTAAATATCCGGACGGACCTCCTTGGTTGTTTACGACAGCTCTACATCGATTTGGCATACTATCGAGTATGTTTTGGTCCAGATTTCGCCACACCTCCTGTACCGCCAAAATTAGCTGCTGCTGGTTTTCATAATGGTTTTGGCGATTCAAAAGTCTTCTTTTCATAGCATCCCATACTTTTTCTATTGGATTAATGCCTGGGGAGTTTGCTGGCCAAGGTAAAACGCTTATATCATTCTCTTCAAATGCTGCTCGAACGATCATCGCAGTATGTGGCCTAGCGTTATCCTGCTGGAAAATGGAATTTGGGCCCATATTTATTAAATAGGGTAACACAATAGGTAAAACTATGTTATCGCGATATCGAACTGCATTCAAAGTTAAAAAGAGCTCGGTTCTTCCGCCAGTATTAATTCCACCCCAAAACATCAATGAACCTCCTCCAAAATTGACCACCTCACGAGCATGTTGTAGCCGTGCTTGGTTTCCAGGTTCATTCCAGATACGTATCCTTCCAGAATCTGGGTGGTAGCAAAATCTTGACTCATCAGAAAAGAGAATACGGCTCCAATCATCAGGACCCCAATAAAGATGTTCTTGTGCCCAAGCTAAACGAGCAAGCGCGATTTCCAGGGAGCAATCGGGGTACCCTTAAAGGTCGTCTCTGAAATAGACCTTGCTCTCGGACACGGTTTCTGACGGTTTGAGCTGACACAATCAAATCGTGGGTCCTAAGAAGCTCTTGTCTTAGCTCGGGAGCTGTTATTTCTGGGTGTCTACGAGCTTGCAAAAGCAAAAAGCGGTCTTGTACCGGGGTATACCCCGGTACAAGACCGCTTTTTGCTTTTGCAAGCTCGGAGACTATAGTTATCCTACTGCGGCCTGGATGTCTTTCTTTTACATTATACCATTTGACGAGCCACTTCCCGTTATGATGAACCACCTTCTATCATCCCAATTGCTCTTAATTTTTGTTAGTCACTTAGATGGTGCCTTTCCATAATAGTAAAAGTATTTTTATAAAAATTTGATGAATATTGGGTAAATAACACAAGATATACTAAATTGCACCGTTTAATGGGAAATACGATAAATAGTAAAAAAACATTATTTTTTGCATTAAAAAATGTGTTATACAGTGTGTTCTTTTATATTTAGTTATGTTATTTTATAATTTATAAGATAAATTATCTAATAACTAAATTTATTTCGATTTTTCTGGGTGTTCCCTAGACACTTTGACTGTGTATAATTATATATATTTTACCTTATTTTCTAAGATATTAGTTTAACTAAAATATATTATATTTTAACTAAATAATATATACCTATTTCAAAACATATATGTTTTTAAATATATATTATTTAGAATACTAATAATATAAACTCAATCCTAATAATATAAACTCAGCTTACAAAACGTAACGCCAGGAGGCGCTGGTATACCAGCTATAGCTTTATTTTTAGCAACGCAGCCTTTCTGTCGTTTCATGTGGTAATTTCCACAGAATATAAAGGAAGTACACCACAGTGTAAATTTAATAACTTTTTGCGCGCTTTGGTTTTTTGTTGCATATTAAATGTTTAACAGGAAGTTTATTGTGGTGAATCTCTTTTTAAAACTCTAATTTTTATTCCTTAATTCTGTACTACGCAAAACTTCCGAAACTATGTCCTCAAGATTTGGTTCCATTACTGCGGTGAAATGCTATTTAAAATGAACTATTATTCTGTTAAATTTTTAATTTAAACTTATACCTACATAAGTGCTTTATTAGGTACCAGGTGTATTATTATTTTTAATGTATCCTCTTGTTTTAAAAAGATAATCACTACCACAATAAACATTCATTTAGACATATAATAAACAACAAAAAACCAAAGCGCGACAAAAAGTTATTTAATTTGCACCACAGTAAGTCCCACATGAAATGACAAAAAGGCTGCGTTGCCAAGTTAAATAAAGCTGCCAGCGCCTTCTGGTGTTACGTCTTATAAGCTTAGTTTTTATTATTAGTATTACTGGATAGTATTATATATTTTAGTAAAACTAATATATATCTTAAAAAATTAACCTAAAATATATATTTCAAACAAATTTTTTATATTTTAAACAATTTATTTATATTTTTACAAATTATTATATATTTTATAATATATATATGTATATATAATATACTTAATTAATTAATCTTTCACAAGCAAAAACACTTAAATTAAATTTTACCAAACTGAAACAAAATTTCTTTGTTATTTTTAGAGGCTTTAAGACGTAATTTTGTTTAATTTAGTTTTTCATAGCTTCTAATACAAATTTACTTATAACAGAACACATTGCAAACTGCGAACATAACCTAATTGTTAAAACATACTGCCGCAATCCTATACGAACCAAGTTTTTGTGGATAATAAAGTTTTATCAGTTATAAATTTATACATATATGTATGTGTATATTTAATCGTACATTTTAAAATAGTATTACGCTTATAATGTAATAAACACATATTTAAGTATATGTGAGATAACCTACAAATTTTCCGTCATTTAAAATTTGCAATATTGCCAAATTGTTCCAACTTAAATTATTGGATATATCAGTTGATATAAATATTTCAACGTTTCTGCATACGGCTCTTTAGTTAATTATGTTAAAGAATAAACCTTTATTTATAAAAAGGCAGTTTTTTACGATACAAATTTATTTTTTACGTCACTCATTGCATTTTACTTTTGTGGCTTAGAGGCGTAGACTTTATAGTGGTGGATGTGTGTGCAATGCATACAAAAGCATAATTTTTTTTTGCACTTTTTATCAAAAGTTTGTTTGTTTGTTTGCACAGCTCAAAGTAAAAACGCTGCAGTTTAACCATCGGCTTTATCAACCATTGTAGTACTTAAGATTAATTAATTTTTAGTCATTTATCACGAGTATACAATTTGTATTTTTTTTGTATCATGTTTGGCTTTATTGCGTGGGCCGTAAAAATTTATTATTTACTACATGGAGCCTACACAATGAGTCTGAACTTCATGTAAATAAGAATCTTCATAAGATAAGAAGGCGCTGGTGTTCCGTTTATTCTGAAACTATTGACACTAATTGATTCCGAAACGCTACCAAAGGAGGAGACGTCAATACGAATTGATAATCAGCGTCGCTGGTGGTGAAAAAAAACCTAATTTGTGCAATTTGGAGAACAGGTTTTGTCATTTTCTCCTATTAAGTTCGGGCTCCTTGTGTAGGCTCCATGATTTACTACTTGTAGCAATACAAAAAATTTACTTCTTTCAGATCGATTCTAACCTTACTTTTCACTTAATAATTTTAGAGAGAGATTTTTATTTTCAACGACCTTTATTAGGATTAATTAAGTTAAAACAATAATAATTAGTTTAGTTGTAAGTGCCAGAATCTAAATCCAAATTTAAATTAGCAAACTTACCGGTTATTAAAATAAAATGAATTATAATATAAATTTCATATAAATTATAATATGTAAGATAATATGTAAATGTCTACAATAAAATAGGCTTGATTTAAATATAAATGTTGAACTTCGATATGTCCAGTTTTCGATAATAGTGTCACATTTTGGATGAACCCATAAAAAAGTCCAGAAACGTAAAATTGTAGAACATTGGTACACACCGCATGAAATTACGAAACATTTTAATCTTTACACCTTAAAATTGATTGTGTTATACGCAATTTGGACATCATGTTTTGACCAAAAGTTACTGCCCCAAAAATATTCGGTTATCATTCTTTGATATCTTTTATAATCGATAGTAACCACACTTAAAAAATAAATATATCCCAACATAAAGGTTTGGTAGAACTTATGGTATAGGAACCACCTGACCAGTGGCGTAGCTATAGCTACGCATCATGTTTTGTCCAAAAGTTACTGCCCCAAAAATATTCGGTTATCATTCTTTGATATCTTTTATAATCGATAGTACACTGAAAGAAATATATACTAAAGTTAAATAAAAAAATAATTAGGGCAAATATATTTTATGTTTCATATATAGACTACCACATACATTGCTAAAACAAATATATTCGTTTGGTTAGCAGCCTATTGCTGCCCTAGCAATATAAATGGTGTTTCTAGCAATATTTTTTTGCTGTAATTCACTTATAGTTTACATTTTATAGTAAGGGTAAGTTTATTTTTATTTAGATCTAACATATCTTCTTTACAATAAATGTATTACAAAATTTACCATACATTCATAATAAACAGTAGTATAAATGTGTAAAGCACTAGTATAAAATTTTTAGTATAAATTTGTATTTACTTTTAGCAACAAATTTCTTTCAGTGTAACCACACTTAAAAAATAAATATATCCTAATATAAAGGTTTGGTAGAACTCATGGTATAGGAACCACCTGACCAGTGGCGTAGCTATAAACTACCTGCACCTGACCAGTGGCGTAGCTATAGCTACGCCACTGGTCAGGTGGTCAGGTAGTCTCGAGGGGGCCCCAAAAATACGGTAGGGGCCCTTATACGGAAAAAACTGCTGGTAAAAAAATTTATGGGTGTCACGCCCAATGTATTTTGGGCAAACAAAAAAAATTTTTGGGGTATCATTTTTTGAATTTACCATTTTTTTATAATTAATATATGTATACATTAGGGTTGTGACCGCGGTCAATTGACCGAGATTTTTACCTTTTTTGACAGGAGAAGTTTTGACCATGTCAAAATCGGTCAAAAACTTTTAATTCAACCGCGCGCGGCGGCCGCGCTACCTAGCGGAAAATATCAAAAGTATTAAAAAAATGTTCTTTAGTGGACCATGGTGCAATCATAATAATGCTTTTTAAATAGTGTTCTGGATCATTTTTGACTAATTAATTTTAAGTGAGAAAAGACAATGGCGAGGGTTGGTTCAATGACAAGGATGATGTGCCGTTATCCACACATGCATATGCTAGCACCGTGTTGTCGGTTTTTGGTTCTTAAAAGAACCGAATGTCTGACCACGTTTCGGTACAATATCATGTATCATCTTCAGGTCTTATCTGCTGGGCTGCTGTTGCTGCTCTGCTGCGAGTTAGACGTGAATGTTATTAAAAACAATGATATTATTAATTTTTTTTGTACCTCAGAATGGTTTCTTTATTTTTTGTTAGCTGTATTTCAATAAATATACGTTTCTATTTAAAATTAATTAATTTTACTCATGCCTTTATTTCTTTAGAAAAAACTAAAGAATTTGACCGGTGATTAGTCAATTGACCACAAAAGATTTTGACCGGTCAAAATCCCAACCCTAGTATACATACTATGTATACTATGTATTACATAGCTTCTCATGTACGGGCAAATTTTAAAATTTGGTCTGGTTTTAAACATTTACCGTTCTTCAACATCTTTTAAAAGGTTTATATTTTAAAATAAAGGCAAGTTATTTGAAATACATGTAACGCTAATAATTATTTCTAATTTGTTATTAATATAACCTATGATAATAACACGCAAAGCAGACTTAGTATGCGGCGCAGAGCACAGAACAATATGCGCAGACTGCGCCGCAGACAACGCATAGCGGAAAGGTGCGGGCAGAAACAATTCGTATGAGTTCAAGGCCTCGTTAGAATAGGAGGGTATTCAGGAAAATTTAATAAATCAAAGTATACACAATTACATAAATAATAGTATTATTTATTTATTTAATTTTTTTTTCGAACGTCACGTCAGTTTTTTCAAAGTTAGTCCGCAATTTTGTGACGTCCATTTTGTTTTTTTCTATTTTGACCTCACATTCGAATTCTCGGACCCCAAAAACATAAAGGTATTTATTTTTAAATAAATTCGCTCTCTATTTGAATTTTGGCCGACCACTGTGCGGCATTAAAATCTCGAAATTTTCTGTCTAAATCAAAATTTATCCATTTTTTTAGACTAACAATCGATATAGAAGCAGTTTTTTACAGTAAAAGGGAAAATAATGTTTATTGGGCACTGTACGCAAAATTTTTATTGCTTTATCAGTTAAATCTAGTTAACTCCACGTTGATAATATTATATTTTAATCTTCTCAAATATTGGCGTCAATAAACTATTTTTTCTACTCCCACCTTTAAAACGACCATTATCGTACATGATTCCATGTAGTTTTAGTCACGGGCTGAAGTTAGCAACAGGTTTTTAGTCACGGGCTGAAGTTAGTTTTAAGATAGTTGACAGTTGTCAAATGTCATACAATCGTTAAAATAAAGTGCCTTTCTTGTAAAATAATACTAAATGTTAACGGACTCCACTGTAAAGTGCTCATAAAATTTTCTTTACTTTCACTGTAAAAAACTGTCCATTTTCAAGAAATACATTTCGATTTATAACCTTTATAATCTGTGTATATAAATTTGACATTTGACGGTGACACACAGATTCCCCTATTGTTTCATAGATGGCGCTCCATAAAAATATTTGATTTAAATCATTTTAAGAAAATAATAAGTATTTGTCGTAGAAAAAGTATAGTATGCACCTAGTTTATAAACTTCTCTATACACTCATTAATTTAAGAACTCGCTCGCAAGCTCGCCCGTGCCTAAATTAAATTCGTGTATAAAATGGCGTTTATCAAACTTGATACATAATATACTGTTATACTTTTGTATTTTTGTATTGAGATAATAAAATTTTCACATTCAGTGTTATTTTACAAGAAATACACTTTATTTTAACGAATGTTTGAAATTTGACAACTGTCAACTAACTTAAAACTAAGTTTGGCCCGTGACTAAAAACCTGTTTCTAACTTCAGCCCGAGACTGAAACGCCATAAAGCCACAACTTGCCATGTGTATTTAAAAGGTCACTTAGTGTCATGAAAACATGTACGATAATGGGCGGTTTAAAGGTGGGAGTAGAAAAAATATATTATTAACTAAGAAATTGAGTATTTAAGTATATATATTTAATTTAATCATTTTTTCTTAAAAATGTTGCCTTAAAAAAATGCTACCTTTATTGTCTTGCATAAAGATACAAATTTCACATAAAATTAAAAAAAATATATTAATATTTGTTTAAAAGAACAAAACTTTTTTTCCTTTAGCAAAAGTTGAGCGTTTAAAAAATTTAAAATGTTATCTGTTTTAGTTTTCTAATATTGAATGCCAGCTGCACAAGCTAAGCGCGTTATCTCATAAAACTTTAATACTGCACGTTTTAATTTGGAGAAAAAATGAGGACGTTGCACGAAATTTAAAAAGTTTTGAATTCAACGCCTGGCCTGAATGCTATTTAACTTGGGGCTAATTTACTACCTAGTTTACCTGTTTAAAAAACAAGATCTACTTTAAAATTCTTTAAGGGATGTAAAAGTTAACGTGGAAACTAATATTGTTGTCTGGAACGTGTCCAATTTTTGCCTAGCAGCTACGTAAATGACCTGTTATTCGGTTTACGTGTTGGCAGTATTAAAGATAGTTTAGGTCCGATGGTAGGCAAACAAATTGCTTTAGTTTATGACCGGCTTACCAAACCACCAAGCTTGAAAGTAATAATGCACATAAACTTGTACTTATTAGATACATGAAAGCATGTCTAATATTTGCGAGATGAAAGTAAGGGGAAAGTTTATTTTATATTTTGATTACAAAATCTCACTTTGTAAGACAATGTTCTTTCTTAATAACCTTAGGTTTTTGTGAAAATATGAACTTTGTCATCACTCCCTTGTCATCAGTCTCGCTCAAAATCAGTACGACCACAAAAATGACCTTCATATAGCAACCCCTGGGGCCACCCCAAATCAATTTTTAAATGGCAACGCCCTCTTTTGAATACTTCATTAAAAAGCTCTTGAAAATTGCTATTTAACAGTAGGTACTAAGAAAAATACTTTTTAATGGTTTAATTTTTTAAAAATACGCTAAATAATTCTTATAATTTTTTATTTCAATTTCTCGTTACAAATATCAAATGAAACCATTTTTTTGTAAATATATTCTCAATATTGGACTATTCGTTTTCGCAGATCTTTATTAGAATGAGGTTTGTTGACCATAAATTTTAAGTTACCCCATAAGAAAAAGTCAGATCTTGAAATCTCGGAGGCCATTCTATTGGTCCTCTTCTACCAATCCTTTGTTCTGGATTATTCTTTTCCAGCCAAGCTCATAAATTATCATCCAAAGCTGGTTCATTATCCTCTTCTCTTTTAGTTCTTTCAGTATTGTTTTATATAACATTTCAAAATAAATTTGACCATTCAAATTTTGGTCAATAAATAAGGAACCAATAATACAATCTTCGAAAATTCCTGCCAAGACATTAAGTTTTTCAGGATACTGGGTATGATTTTCTCTGATGAGATAAGGATATTCACTGCTCCAATAACAACAATTTTGTTTGTTTACATTTCCATTTAGACAAAAAGTACACTCATCGCTAAAGAAAATGTTTTTTATTATTTGGATCTGATTTTTTTATTTTATTGGTCATGATTTCACAAAATTCTAAACGCCTGTATGCATTATCATCGCCATGTTTATGTGTAATATGCATTTTGAATGGGTTAAATCTATACACCTTCCTAACAGACTAATCTTTTTAGATGCCGAACGAAGTTCAAGAACCTCAATATGGGTACCCGGGTGGCTTCATTAAGTATACTAGCATTGAGTTTACTCAATGATACTAGGTTGGTTTCTTTTTCAATTGCAAACAGATCCCGTTTATTTAAATTTTGCAAACTGCTCTTGAACATATTTAAGATGCAAATTTTTACTATGGGCTAGTCCATTAAATGCCACTGCAGTTCGAAGAGCACTACGATTTTGGGCATCATAAATAAATATAATTTCATCACGTTCAGCCGTTGTGTAAACCATTTTGGAAAACAAACAATACTATTTAAAATATATATAATAGTCTTTTTTGTAAGTTTTTATAAATCTGATAAACATACACATTCCATTGGGGATATAAATTGTTAAATAACGCCAAAATATTTCGCGAAGAAAATATTTTTTTAAAATAGACACCTGAGAGTTATTTTCTGCATTTAATTTAAAAAGCTAGAAATTAAAGTGCTTTGATTATTGTTGAACAATTTGTTTATTTATGCTTTTTCAGTTTATTATATTTTTTTAGAATTATTTTGTGTTCTCCAGTTTTTTTATGACAACGAAATGGTTAAATTTGATTTTTATAACTAGAAATTGGAATAAAGAATTATTAAAATTATTTTGCGTATTTTTCAAGGCTTAGTGAAGGATATTTATGTGGTCATACTCATTTTCCTCACATATCCTAGAAAACATTTTATAAATTTTTTATACATTTTTTTGGTCCAGACTTAAAGAGCATTCCCCCTTTTTAAATAGACACCCTGTATGTTTTACAAGTAATTTAATTACTTAGCCGTTAGAGTACACCGTAGCTATACCTATATATTATTTCGTTTAATTATATTTCTGTCACATAAGTACAACATAATTAAGTCCTTAATCACTAGAAAGTGTTTAAAGTAGCATTAAACTGTATTTTAAATTCAACTGGCAAGTTAACCTATTTTAAACTTTTAGTAATACTTTTACAATGTATATTTGGCATAAATTTAATTAATTATGTTATAAAATAAAATTGGTACATGTAAATTTTTGTTGAAATGTTACATTTAGGGTTGCCACTCACCTGGAAAACCTGGAAATGTCAGGGAATTTAATTTTTTTAGAAATGTCAGAGAATTGGCAAAAAAATCTACAAAGTCAGGGAATTCCTAAGTCAATCATGGAATTGGTTATTTATAAATAGGGATTGCAATCCGGTACCAATTTCAATCCGGTCGGATCCGGCCGGATTCCTGTCAATCCGGCCAGATCCGGTCGGATCCGGCCAAATTAGTTATTCATGTTTATAATTCAATTTAATTATTACCTTTATGTGCTATATCTAGTATGTATTATGTGTAAATCTCAGAGATTCACACATGTGTATGTATACTAGATATAGCACATAAAGTTAATAATTAAATTTAATTTTTTGTTTTTATCTTTAGTAAATGTCAAACTTACTTTTTACTAATAAAAGTTTTCTAAATATCAATAAACCTTTATTAGAATTAAATTAAGGCAAAAAATACATATATAACAAATGTATTTATGGCGTTTTAGTCACGGGCTGAAGTTAGAAACAGTGGCTTTTAAGCTTTTTAGTCACGGGCTGAAGTTTGCTTTATTATAAATTGGAAAAAAGTGAGGTTAAATTCGAGTGACAGTTGACAGATGTCAAGTTTTTAACAAATAAAATTGGCTTTAAATTCTGTTTTATGTTTGTCGTAGATAAAGTATAGTATGCAACTGGTTTATAAAACTTATCTAGATACTCGTTTTTATTAAACACTCGCTCGCAAGCTTCACTCGTGCTTAATTAAACTCGTAACTAAAATGGCGTTTATAAAACTTGATACTTAATATACTATTATATATTCCTCTACTGACGACCTGTGACTTTATGGCGGTTTAGTCACGGGCTGAAGTTAGCAACAGTGGTTTTTGGGCTTTTTAGTCACGGGCTGAAGTTAGATTTATTATAAATTGGGAAATAGTGAGGTTAAACCCGGGTGACAGTTGACAGATGTCAATCTTTTAACAAATTAAATTTGCTTTAAATCCTGTTTTGTGTTCGTCGTATATAAAGCATGGTATGTAACTCGTTTATAAACTTCTCTAGACACTCGTTTTTATTAAACACTCGCTCGCAAGCTTCGCTGGTGCTTAATTTAACTCTTAGCTAAAATACCGTTTATAAAATTTGTTACATAATATACTATTCTTCATAAGTGTAATAATAAAGTTATTATAAACAAAATCAGAAATATGCATCATTAGCAAGGATTCGTTACTCAATTTAATTCTAAGTATATAATTTACTGAAATTATTCTCGTACTCTTGAAGGAAACAAAAATAATTTGACTATCAAGCGAGTCAAATGACAAACTGTCAGTTTGAAATCCAACTGTCAGTTTAAAACTAATGGCGTGTGGTCGGATCCGGCCGGATCATGCCGGATCCGGTCGACGTTTAATGATGCCGGATCCGCAGAATTACCGGATCCGGTTTTTCGGATTGCAATCCCTATTTATAAATAAAACTGGTCAACAATAGTTTTATAAAAAAAATATGTTAACGAGTGTAATTTAAATTTAATTTATTCAAAATATGGCAGCGCTATATGTCAAAATTATCACTATAACCTTAGAAGTCTATATCACGACTTCTAAGACTATAACCAACTATCTTTATGTTTAGGGTAATTAATATTTGTTTATTTCGTAAATGGTAAGCATAATAAGGTTAATATCCAAAACGGGGATAAATTGGGGTGGTAAAAAATAAAAAGCAAAGATTAATAAAACACTAGCAAAATAATACCTCAATGTGTAACATAAAGTAATTTCAAGGCGGCTATAAATTAAACTTAATATATACATATAGTTATAATAATAATACTATTAGAGCATTTTTTAAAGAAAAATTAAATTAAATTTTTTATAATTTAACTATATATTATTAATTATCGTTAATAATGCCTTAACTTATAAGAGTTTAGGGCAATAATAAGAAAGTAAACAACTCCATGGACATACCTTTTAACTCCATGGATTTGATGTTTTTATAGTTAAAGTCACAAACTTTAGAAAAAGGTACATAATGTATCTTTAGTTAACTGTAATTTAAGCAAAGCATATTTGGTTATTTCGCCTGGAAAAAGTTTAAATTTCAATTGTATTTAAATCCCTTTGTTATTAAAGACATGGAGTTGATCTTTAATAAAAATACTTACCCGTTTTTTCGCAAATAATTGTTCTTTATAAATTTTTATTAAATATTACACCCCCTTTGCCTTGCTTACACAAATCAATACTAAATCACTCAAACTACGAAGTCTTCAAACATTACTAAAATACGTTTTATACAGGGGATTTATCCTATATTAAAAGACTGCAAAGAACTCAGCTGTAAAATGGTGTCTCATGCTTTATTCGACATTTTGGGTTAAAATATGAATAAGTTTGCTTTTGGTTGTGTTTTTTTATACATTCCAAGTTAGAGGAAATGCAATATGAGAATCATTTCACAATTGCATCTAGTGTAATAGTATATGGATGATTTGTTGTCCCTACGCTAGGTGGTGACAGTCCATGGAGTTGACTTTAAAGCGTTTAAGCAAATTCAAATTAATAAAATAAATTATGTTTAATTTTTTTGGTTAAGTACGTTCTACTGCTAGACATAAACTGTCTATTGTAGTGTTATTTAAATGCTAACTACTTTCATTAGTATATTTTATTTAAGACTTTCAGCATATTTGCTCCGTTCTGGAGAACCACCCAATTAATAATTTAATTAATTAATCAGTAAAATACTTTGAAGCCAAATGTTTGATTTGCAAGTAGTCATAGGCCACATAAAAAGTGCGGGCCATTAAAAAAGGATTTCGGCAACGAAGAACACAAATTTGTCAAATTTTCTTAAAAAAAAATAACCAGATTGAAAATACTACTCTCTAATTGTCATAGCGAAAAAGCAGCCACTAATAATTCTAGGCAACAGCAATTTATATCCCGGATATTTAGCAGTCAATTCCTATGTAAAATTGTCTGCTGATCCGAATTTGTCGTCAAAAGTTATAAAAGTAGGACAGTTTTTAAGATTTATTCAATTTTCTATATGGAATTAACTATATTTCAAAAACTGCTATGACGGTCTTTTCGGATTCAGGGGACAATTTTACATGGGAATTGGATGCCAATGACCTGGATACAAATTGTTGTGAACTACAGTTATTAGTGACTACAGTGAATTAGTCAAAAATGACATATTTAAAGTGAAAAAGCATGCTGAAATATGTAATTTTTGACTCATTATTTTTTAGAGAGTATGCTTGAAAAAGTTACAGTTTTTCATGATAATAATATTAATAATAATATTGCTTTAGAAAATAACCAGAATAAATCAATTTCTTCAATAAAAACTCCTGAAAAAATTGATAGAAGCAATAAAATCTTTTTTTTGTATTATCAAATATTTACTGATAAGAACTCATAAACTTGATAAACAAGACCTGCCGCAGACAATATTTTATTATTTCTGTTATTTTCAGATTGAACATAAAATTAATGTAATAAAAACCCAAGAAACAAAAACCTAAATTAAAAATATCCCGAAAAAATTAGCTACAGAATTTTTTTTTTAGTATTGATTTTTTGTTAATGTTTTTGAATTTTATAAACTTCAATAAAGGTTTAGTTTTTTAATTAATCGTTATAATTCTCCACCAAGAGAAAAATAAATTATAGTATTACATAAGCACCAAAGGGTGCCTTTGCTTGATTGCTTTGATTTTTATTGTATATTTTTAATGATAAGTTTTCCTTAGTTTTGCTGACAAAGGAAAGGGGGGTTAAAAATTACAAAATTACTGCTTACCTAAACTTGACTGGCCCCATACTTAAAATTTTAAAAACAAACACTCAAAGTCCAGTTGAAAAAATCATTGAGGTCAGGAAACCAAAAAGAAAACACATTTTGTCAATCAGGTAAGGTTGGTTTAGACAAATCGGTGGCAACCCTGTACATTGGACGTTATCTTGGTTTTCTTGATTTTTACAACGTTTCGATTGGTTGTCT